TCCTCATAGGCTCGTTTGGGTTATTTACGCAGCCCTTGAAAGTACTGCCTCACTTTCCTTTGTCATCTAGTTATCTTGAAAAGTCAAGGAAAGGATGTAGAGGAAACCGCATGGGAATTATGGGATCGTTTTCTAGGAATTGTGAAAACTGGTGTTTTGTAGGGCTGTACAGGGACATGATTTTAGGTCACAGCGGCAGACTATGACTTCCACGTAGAAAATTCACCTCAAAACCAAGCATACAAACCCTAACTTCACACACACATGCAAACTGTATTGCACAGCCTCGACTGTGGTAAAGTCTTTTTATTTACAGCATAGACCTATTTCTTTGTGGTACATGCAACACATGTGTCACTGCTACATCCTGCAAGAGCATCGAAATGCTTTTTGTTTGATATAATGTATTTAACATGATGCAAAAACATATCTGCTGCACACACAGATAAATCATCACATCAGTAGCAATGCTTTGTCGTGCTAACACAGTGGACACTTTACCTGGATTCTCTGAGTGGTCGATTTGGGCCATGGTTATTAGATGTCTGTTTATCAACTCCTGAAACAAGAGAACAAGGATTTCAGACATTCCCGGTGGAGAGGAAGAGAAAGAGGATGACTGGTGAAAAAAGAGCAACTGGGCAATACCTGTCGGAGCTCATCTGCCATGAAGAAGGACGGGGCATTGGCTTTTGGCTGCATGTAAGCCACATGGGGTGCAGTGGGGGGGTAGATATGGTAGGTAGGAAACACCTGCAATGAAACCAGAAAAACACAGTTTCCTATTTATGGAGAAATGAAAACCAAGTCTGATCATATGTACGCTGCTTTTAAGTTGAAATTGGTACTGTTACGCAAATGAATGTGATGGAACGAAACTCTTATGCGGATGTAACAATGTCATTGGAAACCAAATTACAACCTTTAGTACTCCACCAAAAGCTTAAAAAAGCAGAATGTCTGCAGTGGTCTGCACGCAATCATACACTAAAGCATTATGTAGTTTGCAAAAACAAGGACCGAACACTGCTGCCTCCTAAAAGATCACCATACCAGATTGAGTCTTAAGAAACAGATTTAAATGTTTTGCTGTAGTTGACATTCATTTTTTTCCATCACTGTGTAATGCTGCATCTTTCTATGTTTGCTTCAGACATTTAAAAGCCCTATGGGGTGTTTGCAACTTGTATACGTACCATCCCAGCCATTGGTGCTGGGGTGTTGTCTGTGTAAAAGTAGGTGGTCCCCCCTACAGTCTCTTTCTGGATTATGTGTGTGCCCTGGTCAGATGCGGTGGTGGGCACCATGTAGTTGGCAGGGTTTGGGGTATGACTGCGTCGACGAGGAGCAGGCGAGGTGTGTGGTGTAATTTTTGGGGAGTGGAGAGGGGAAGATCCCGCAGACAAAGACATGCCTAAAATTGGAGATTAAAAAAAAAGAGCTACTATAAGAAAAGGCACAGAGCATTCACTGGCTGCAATTACATAAAATGTTTGATAGAAAGATTGCAGATTTTGTTTCACAGCGGCACAGTAGTCGTGCTATACACAAGAGGGAATTCCCATACTTGCTGAACCAAACAATTTCAGGGCTAAAAATGGAAAATAAAACAGAGTCATGCAGAAAGTGGAGCAAAGCAGATATATAACAGAGGTAATTTCTCAAGTGGTATTTCTCCACAGCAAACCCTCACCTGGAGCCAGAGCAGCAGCTGTGGAGCTGCTGAGACCAGGATGTGCGAAGAGAGGCGAGGGGAAGGCCTGGACAGTGGACTGAGCCATGGTGGCCATACGTGGAGCTCCCTTAGGGATAAACTCACTTGCTGCCGGGTTAGGAGCCTGGTGAAACAAGCAACACCATGCAAGACATACAATAAATCTACCGCTCATGGAAAAGACAACTCAATTTGGATGTAGATGCAAGTTTAATTTATCATACTTTATTGCTTATTAACAAGCATGTAAAGTGCTTTAAATATTTGCTTTGAAATGTTTGTGTGCTCACCTTTCTCCTTTGGGAAATGCTAAGAGCACCAAAATCACTGAACAATGAGGATGTCGGGGAGTTCACTGGATCTGTGAAAGATCAAGCGTAAAGAGTTGGCTTTTAAAGTTCAGTGTATGAGTGTCGGCTACTGGCCCACAGAGCTCTGAGACCAACTCACCATGAGTGCTGTGGCTGTAGTTCTTGGCACCATCGTTGAGGAGACTGGGAGAGCTGCTGCTGGTAGTCATCCGCTAAAGAGCAGCATCAAGGAGAGATGTGCAAGAAATGTCACTCTACTGAGCATTTATGTTCATCAATAAAATATCACCAAATACTCTTATGCCATGACAAAAAGTGTGACTTCAAATAAATCCTGCAACTTGACAGCATAATAACCAGCTACATGTAAATTATTTAAATAACTAATAGTAGTACCTCAGTCTATTTTACAAGCATATCATAAGCAGAAATACTTTAATGCCATCTATCTGAGGTTAGATGTTTACAACAACTGGACATATCTGGATCCTTCCTCTTGTACCTGCATCATTGAGTATTTAGACTCTGCTGGGCTTCCAAACCCATTGACTCCAATGAAGCTGCTGCTGAAGTAAGAGTTGGTAAGATTGGCATCGCTCAGGGTTGCGCCCTCCATCCCTGGGACTGTGGGTGACAAAAACCAGTTTAAGTTTAGAAAATAGTGACTGCAGCTAGTATGATATAACCAAAATATAATTCTATATAGAGACCAGAAAGTAAAGTGTGTATTGTAATGTCAGCACTACAGTGTTCCCTCCTTGCTCATTCACTGAGCTCATTAGAAAGCATGTAAACAGTTCACTACTGCAGAGTGAGACACTACTACAGCCTGCCACAGGGTGATACCCACCAGGAGTGTCTTCTAACAAACTTTGTAGAGACAAGTTACACTTTCTGAGGACTCAAGTTGAACTGGAAGCTTTTAACACTTGACTTACACGTGGTTGTTGGCTACTTGCTGTTTGTTTACGCTGACAAAACACGACAACAAAAAGCAAAAACAATGCTCCGTGAACTGCTAGCGGGGGTATGCTAATGTTAGCAAACACCAAACTTACACACGAACAGTAACACTACACTTCACAAAAACAACATTTAACTGGAGAAAAAGTCACGTCACCAGTAACAATAGTGATATCGCCTCTCTGAACGTAAAGCTACATGTAGTAAAGTTAGTTAAACACGTCAAATTAATGCTAGTTTAGCTAGCGCTAGCCAGCTAATAGCTACTCCCGCTAATGTTAGTGGATCGCGGATTTCTGCCCACTCACAGCTGTCATACAAAAACAACAGGCCTCCTCGGTGTGAGCTGCAGCAGCATGGCTAATGTTAGAGATTGTTAGCAGGTCTAACTATTGCAACCTCCTGACGAACCTACTGACTAAACTGCTAAAGACAGCAGTGCATGCTAGCTGCACACGAGAGGCTCTGGCTCATGTCTGGCAGGTAAACGTAAACCACGTTGTTTTGGGGTTCGGAGGCCTCAGTGGATCCTCGGGCTAAATTTTAACAAAGCTCAAAAAGGCCCAAAAGTAAAGTCACAGTCAGTTACTCACTGGTTAACAGCTGCCCCTCCAGAGACGTGCCTGCAGGCCCCAGTGGTTCGCTCTTCTTGGACACACCGGTCCCCCCACCACCCGGGCAGGTGGCCGCGGAGCCGCCGAGGGAATACCCCGCTGGCGTCCCGCCACCGCCGGCCATGGACAACGGGACGGGGCTACCACCGCCGCCGTGCAGCGGCAGGTTTGCCATGGACGGATCCTCATGCAAGAACTGACACTCGTCTCCATAAAAGCAGGTTTTGTCTTTCGCGTAGTATCGGCAAAACTTCACCTTGACATTGGGTATCCCGGCACCCCCGAGCGGAGCAGCTGAAGGTGGGAGTCCACTGTTCATGGCACCGCCGCTGCCGCCACTGCTGCCGGAAGACACTCAAACATAGAGACGCAGAGAGCTAGCGTGCTAGCCAGCTAGCGTGCAAACAGTTTCCCCTTAAAGGAACGGATTAATATCAGTTCAGCTGGTGAAGAACACTTAAGATCCCGCAGTACTCACATTCTAAGGCTAAGATGCATTTTGGTTTAAAGAAATGTCATTGCATGCGTGAAATCCTGCTCGTCGTTGTTGTCGCTCTCCATGCAGCTGCCTTCTTCGCAAAGTAGCCTGTTGTTGTTTTTTGCTCGCATCAGGCTGCTCTGCTACACACCAGCTAGCATGGCTTTGCATTGTGGGTACAGCGCTTGGCAGAGTTTACCTGCTGCAAATGCGAGCCGCAAATTGAACCTGCAGCACTGAGATACGGTTTATTAGCAACTACAGGGGAACAAGTCTGAAAGTTGTCAGGATCTGTGGTTTTAGTCAGTGTCATTTGCTGTCTGCATTGGTTAATACTGAAAAAAAGAGAGGATTGAGCAAAGACAATCGAAACTTTACTGAATTCAAAAATATAGCCACACCTACACATTTGAAAACATAGAGAGAAATTACACTTCTCTTTTTATTGAGCTTTAGTGTGCTTCCACAACTTTATATCTAAGTATTTTATTAGTAGATTTTGAAAAATATTTTATTATCAAATCAAATTTATTTATATAGCACATTTGAAACTTTATGAGTTGACCAAACTGCTGCACAAAACATCAAAACTGGATGGTTTCACTCATTTATATAAATATCTGGAATATTTTCAAAGGAGGAAACTGTCATTCCTGCATTTTCTTAATAAAAACTTAGTAGATAGGTAAGTGGATAGTGTTGCAACAGCAATCACACATCTGTCATAAATATATACTTGATTTTTTTTTTAAAACATCTATTTTAAAACATGAGATAAGATCTTATACATTTTTCACAGGTTTTCATGATGGCCCAAATACAGCCTGGTTTTTACACCTTGGCTCCAGACGTAGCTAATGATGTCACTATTTGCAGTTGTACTTCCTCTGTTTTAACGATATTCGCACACATCTTGCACACCAGTTTCAGTCTGACCTGAGACTGAGTATGTAACCCTGACAGAAAGACAGCATCGTGCGAAGGCAGAGAGATATGATTGCGGGTAAGACTATTTTCAAGTCCCCGTTTTGTAGGCTGAGTCACAGGGGCTGCAGAATCAAGGGGAAAGTACAGTTCTTCTCAATTTCTTTTAAGTGAGGCCTTAGTTCTAAGGATATTTAGAAATACTTTTTTTCTTCTTTTTAGACCCCTTAGCCTAACATTTGTCAAAACTGGTGTTAAGATAATGTGTAATTAGTTATTTTTTTTAATGCATTAAATCACTAGAGCATTTTGCTGTCGCCGGTCAGAACCTAATGATTATCTATTAGATATGTGGTTATTGTCAGTATCCAGTGTTGATATATCAGCATTCAGCTCTAGCACAGAATGCGGAACCTTGTGGATCAGAAGCAAATGACTTGTGTTGATATGACATTGTGACAACTGAAGCGCTCAGGGAGACGAGTAATACCAAACATCAGAGTCCGAGTATGCGTGTTCCCTCTATTAATCACATGAGTTAGGGTTAAACTTTATCAGGTTTTTAAAATTGTTTAAAAATGTATATAGTGTGTTATGTAAGATTATGCTATAATAATTTGTGTACTGTGTATTCAAGCTTTTAAAGTACTGGAAAGACTTAAACCAGGCAATTAATTTATCTCTATAACAGGTGTTACAATTGTTAGAGTTTCTAAAACATTTGCACTGATCTGTCCTTTGAAATAAAAGGTTTTTCTTTTTTTTAAAAAAGAATTCCTGAGTCCATCATATATATATATATATTACATATTACATATTATATATTATATATATACACACGTTTAGTGTCTTGCCTATCCCAGGCGTTCATTCTGCAAAACTTTAATGATCCTGAAGAAACGCTCTCTCATCTTGCCGGCACTACTGAATATGTGCAGCAAAATGACAATAAACCTGATCTGATTTGATTTGATTTGATTTGAAATATTAAAGTTACAAATTTCTGTCTTTCCAGCTGTTTTGCTGCTGTGTGCTGTCGGAGCGCTCTGCTCTGATGGTGCAGAGAATGAGGTCTGCGTATCCAGTCATAAGGTAACAACTGCTTTAACTGATCAGCAAACCCAGAGTAACAACTCGTTAGGTAATTCTAAACTGACGCACAAAGAACAAAGCTATTATTATTCTTTCGTAAACCCCAGTGGACACAGAACTACGCAAAGAGTCTGAACTGAAATGTGCATGAATTGTACACATACATACATGAGTAAAGACACCAGCTGCGGTTGAGACAAAACCAATGCTATTTAATGCTTGTATTTTTGTCACAAGTGTATATAAACCCATATTACCAGACTAAGCAAAGATATTTTAAGTGTATTTTAGAGCAGTTTGCATAATATGGTCGCAGTGAAAAAAAAGTGCAGAGCAGAAAGAGGCTGTAAAAACACCAGGAAGGGAAAATAATTTGTTTCATTTCTTGAAATCTGTCAGTTTGTGTCATTTTAGTATAACCTTTAAAGGTGACAGACCAGATGTAATTCAGTTACAAAGAAAAAACATATAACTCCCTATGCTACACATTTTTACTATTTAATTGATATTTTAGCAAAAGTACTGTTCAAAAAATTACATTGTCTGTAGGATAGGAAGAGTAAAACTCAGAAATATAGAACATTGCACCATGCTGTAATTCATTTGTAGTTAATACATGCAAGTGTACGTGGTCTAGTGAAGACAGGAATAGTTTTATCAGTGTAATGTGCTTTAAGCCTTAAATCTACCTCATCAATCTGTTTTATGTTTCAGCAAAACATTTATACAAAATCTTTCCCACAGTAAATATTTTCATGCTACCTAATGCAAGAGGATTAAATGGTGAGTCTTATCTTACAGGCGACATGTTTTCTGCCAGCTGACTATCTGAATGCATCTGGTCCTGTCAGCGTAGAGCTGTCTGTGGGCAAGAAACTCATCATCTCCCTGGAGGGCCTCGCTGGGGATCCTGTCTGCCACTGGATCAGAGGGATAGATCCAGTGCTGTGAGTGAATCAATATGTGTGTGTGTTCAGCTGTGTTTCATCTCTTCATGTGTATATAATTAAACTGAGGCATTTGCTCGACAGAAACGGGAGTCACTCCTTGGTCACAGCACCACTTTCTGTGACAGATTCAGGGACTTACACACTGCTCTGTGAAACTGGCAATGCGGCCAGGTCCTCAATAACTGTGCTTCTTCATGTAGTAATGAGTGAGTATCGGCTCTTTCATATCGCTTCTTCTCTCTAGTGCAGTGATCAGCCAGCAGTCAACATAGCAAACAAACTCTAGACTGTTTGATGCTGATAAATTTGCATTTTTTAATATTTTCCAGAACGTCCCACAACACCTCAGCTGATGCTGGATCGTGTAAATGTCAAAAAGACTTCCCCCTTTTTTAAGTGCATCTCTGAAGGCTCCCCAAAACCCACAATCAAATGGTTTGGGTAAGATGTAAATCATTACATTTACACTTACACTTTACAGTATATTTCTAGAAAATAATGTAGTCCACAGATACCAGCTTTATTTTGATTCTGTGAATAATAATGTTTCTCCTCCTTTTGGACAGAAACATTGATGGGCAAAATGGTATTGGAAACAACGGAGAGTCAGTGAGCATGATATCGAGCTCTGGCTATCATGACAAAGGAGTGATGTGCTGTGCCACTAACGCTGAAGGACAAGAATGCACCCAACTGTATGACTACGGTAATTAAACACAAAAAAAGATGTAGTAAATGAAATACATCTGTCATTAATCATTACAAATTATTCCAGAATCAAGCGAGTTTGCTCAGTTTTTACTAGAGGAAAAGCAGTTCAGAGGCCAGAGGCGATCTCTAAGTAATCAAACTGTGGCAAATAATTAAAGTAAATAGAGTAAATTTAAAAAAAAAAAAACTGACTGTAAGATATACTGTGTTTTGTGACTTGAGGCCTTACCGTGTGTTTCAGACTTACAAAGCAACGTCATGACAAAGGATGAGGCTTCTACTGTCACCCTGAGCCCTGGTCAGTCTTTACTGCTTCGCTGCCGAGGACTCAATTCCAATCCCCCGTGGAAGTATGGTGACACAATACTGGATGCCAGCAAATTAGTATGTGGAAAACAGGCGGAGGTACAGCTTATACTGAAACAACTCTAAATTTTCATGTGGACAAATTTCCTTTGATGTTTGTCTGAAAGCTGACTTTGTCACTGTATCGCTCTTCACCATTCAAATCATAACGATGTGTTTTTCTTCCAGATGTGCATTAAACGTGACAGTCATTATGACAGTGAGATGACTTACCTGTTCATCAGATCAGTGAGCGTGGAGCACAGCGGCACATACACCTGCATGAGTTCAGAGAATAAAAATAAGTCAGTTTACATTCATGTCCAAGGTTGGTAGACCTCATTTCACTTTATTCTTTTTGTATGTGGATCTATTGCAACTGTTATCCCTGACAAATTCTAAATGATTTTTGTTTCTTTGAAATTTAAGCCTGTGGTACATGCCCTGATTTATTCATGTGTTGCCTCAGCTGAAGGCTTCCTCTCCGTCCAGCTGGATAAAGTCAAGATCCTAGCGGCTGAGAACGCGTCCAGAACCTGCTTGCACGCCAATGTTTCTTACCATCCTGTGCTCCAGCACTGTTTCTGGGAGGCTCCCGATAAAAACATGACTAAATGCATCAGGGACACATGGGTGACGAAGCACAGGTAGTTCCATGAAGCAGGAGCTTAACGCTATCAATAAGCTCCAAAAAGTGTTAAAGAAAAGCTGTCAGCAAGTAAAAATGTGAAAAATATCAGTGTTTTTTTGAGCAATAACAGACAACAAATACTGTGAAAATGACAACAAATGTCTTTGCTTAACGTCTTCAGCTGAATTAAATACAGGAAAACTGTGTAATTGTATGTGTCACCAAAGTAAAACAACAAATTGTGATTCATTATTTACCATTTTTCAATCCTTAGTATAACTTTTTTAATGGCAAATATCTGTAAAATAATAATATTTCTTCTAATATAAATACAGCAAATTAGTGTAATTTTATGGGCAAATGTAAAAGAACAAATTACTATTTCTAAATATACAGATTCTTGATGTGGACATTGTTTTTTTATGGCTCACATTAAAAAAAAGTGATCCAGTAATTTAACAAAATAAGGGAAATCTGTACAATATCAATAAACTCTTTACAGTATATCAGACTTCTTGACTATTTCATTCAAAGTCGTTGGCTGTAACACTGTGTTTTTGTGTTTTCAGGACCGTGAAGCTCTGCAATCCTCTCAGATCAGGAAATTATAAATTACACCTGGAAGCCGGAGGACAAAAACAAACAAAGGCAATATCAGTGTGTGTTGTCGGTAGGTCAATGTGACTTTTGTGCAATTTTAACATTTTTAAAATGTATTTTTCAGTCATATATTAAATGTTGCAGTCCTTATAATGTACTGATTTTGTTTCCAGACAAACCAAAATTCACATTCAAGCAAAACAATAATACCTTCACCTTTGAGACTGCGAGTCTTGTACCAGCTAATTATACCTGGATGTCTTGCTCTCCGTCCAATGACAGGTACGGCTACCTTCACAGCTGCTCAGCTCAGAAGGCGACGTAGCCCCGATTATTAAAGGTCCCTTCTCTTTGTCTCTCTGCAGCTGTAAATCAGAATCTTCTTGGAAAGAGATCCCAAATTCCCGTCAAACGGACTCTGATGTCTTCTGTAACAAGACGATCAAGGGCTCACTGAGCAGAGATCTGATGGATGGACACCTTTTGAGGTTTTGCCTGACAAACTCAGTTGGCTCCTGGTGCGAAATTACATACCCAATATACTACCAGTACCCACCAATGGCTGCCAAAGGTAGGACGAACAATTTTGCTTACATCCATCCATCCATCCATTAGCTATACACCGCTTAATCCTCACTATAGTGGCGGGGGGCTGGAGCCTATATTTTGCTTACAAAATTCTAAAATACAGTTGTCATTATTAAACCTGTTGTGCATACATTTCTGTGTTTTTTTAGGTGGGCCACCAAATGATAATGACTCGTTGCTGCTGAAAGTAGGCATCTTGGTTCTGTTCCTGGCTTTGGTAGTAGTCGTCATGGTGCTCGTGCACTTTATCAAAAAGAAGGTATACATGTACGTTACTCATCAGCACATAGAAAAAGGAAACACACATGAGGACATCATGCAAAACCTTTTGTGTTTCTAATAGAAACCCAAGTATCAGTCTCAGCTGCAGATGATCCAGATGGTTGGACCCAATGACAATGACTACATCTACATCAACTTCAAGGACTTTGAGTACAACCAGAAATGGGAGTTTCCCAGAGAGAACCTGGAACTGGGTATGAATCCTGGTTGGCATTAGACATGATACAAAATTTCAGTAGTGGAAGAGGTACTAAGGCCCTTTAGTTAAGCAAAGCCCTGCATGCAAAATTAAGTTTAAAAAAAGAAAGAAAGAAGAACAAAAAAGTGGTCCCTGTCCCAAATATATGAAATTATCGATACTTATAATCAATGTATAAGCAATAGAGGTCACTTGAATGGTCACAAGGAAAATATTAAAGATGAAAGAGGAAGAAACAAAGTTCTGCTACACAAACCTGCTATAAATTAATCTTCTTGACTCTAATCTTTGTTTTTTTGGTGACGCATCACCTCGTTGGGCCTCAAACTGTTATTTGAACTAAACCATGTGAGAAGTTTAGAGAGGAAGTGTGTCTTTGGTGGAGCTACTATCAATATCATAAGAACAGGACAAGGGGCCCCAGCATGACAGTGTTTTTTAAGAGGCCACAAGCCAAAACAGTTGCAACAGCGCGTTGGTTTCGTAAGGCTATATGGTTGGGTGTTTTTTTTTAAATGTGAAACTTCAATATTCAAAGTAAGTAGAACAGTAAACGTATACAGTAAAATGTGAAGTTCTAGCACCTCAAAATTATGTTTAAGTACAATTGACTTGACTAGATATATTACATGTTGTAATTAGCTTTTCAGTCATGTCCAGGCCTGTTTGCTCTTGTACATAGTTTCACTACATCACACATATAAAGTTGCACTCCTTTAATGTCCATATGAGCAAAATGAAAGTATGTCCTCTCCAGGGAAAGAACTGGGCTCTGGAGCTTTTGGCATGGTGGTGCAGGCGACAGCTTATGGTATCAACAAGCCTGGAGTCTCACAGCAGGTGGCCGTCAAGATGCTTAAAGGTCAGTGTTTACTCCCTGAGGGAAACGCGGAGTGCCGCAGTGCTTATTTCGGTTGCTGATCTCGTATTTGACCCTGCAGAAAAACACCAGTCGGTGGAGAAGGAGGCTCTGATGTCAGAGCTCAAGATGCTGACTCACATCGGCCAGCATGCCAACATCGTCAACCTGCTCGGCGCGTGCACAGACACGGGTATGTTTACCACGACTGATTACACACACGCACTGTAAATGTGTGTTACACCTGATTGTATCTGAGGTAGTTTTTTCAGCTGGGAGCTAGTGCCATAATTTGTGATCATCTTTTTTTTTTCTCCCATGTAGGACCCATATACCTGATCTTCCAGTACTGCTGTTTTGGGGACCTGCTGAACTACCTGAAAAACAACAGTGAACGCTACCACAAGTCTGTGACTGATGCTTTCACCAAGGATCGATTCAGGAGCCTTTACCACAACCTGCAGCTGAAGAAAAAGCCAAGGTGGGAAGAAACGCAACACTGAGGAGAGAATATATGTGATGTCCACTCAGAGCAGTGACAAATATGTACACAGGTTTATATATAGGTGCCGCCTCCATTCCGTCTGTATTCGGTAAATGATTCTGCTTGTAGGGTTGGTGCCATGTCACAATCATGCCACATTTATGTCTTCTCAGTGAGCCAGAAGCAACGGTGGACAACTACGTGCCAATGTACGGCTCCTCCGCCACCAGAGGGCAGGAGGACATCGCCCTCCTCGCCCTCAACTCCGGCGACATGGAGGGCTATGAAGGTCAGAAACACCGCGTAAAGCTAGAAGAACATGCACGTTATCATGCTGAGAAATAATATATCAGCATGCAGATCTCTGAAATGAAAAAAAAAAAGGGTCTGAGCAGGGAGCACTCTGAGCTTTGTTGATCATAACGGAACAAAGTTTGTTTGCAGATCCAGAGAGCTTTGACAGCTCAGATGATCAGACAGAAGACCTAGAGGCCCTGACCTTCGACGATCTGGTGAGCTTTGCCTTCCAAGTGGCCAAAGGAATGGAGTTCCTCTCCTCCAAGAACGTAAGCAGTCCAGCAAGTGTTTAAACTCATCACACTCTTTACTGAGCATACATTTCTACGTTTAGGTGACAAGCAGCCTTAATAGAGCTGAAATAACAAGTCAGTTAATGAATTGACAGAATATTGATTGAGAAATATTTTGCTGATCAATTAAGCATTAGGGTCATAATATCATTTTGAGATTCTGAGCTGCTGTTCTTTGTGTTTTGTGATGGTGAATTTAAATTTGGGGGGTTCTGGATAGTCAGTTAGACAAAACAGCTTGAGGAAATTAAATAGAGCAAACTCTTCAGTCATTCAATCTTAAAAAATAACTGCCAGATGAACAGAGTATTAATAATTGTTAGCTGCAGCCCTATATGCAGTATCTTACTTTGAATAAAAAGAATCTGTGCATTTGTTTTTCCAAAGAGAGGTGCTTTCCTAACACATTATATGTTCCTTTCGAGTTCATGTCGGCTTATACAAATAAAGCGACTTCTCAATTAAATTCTAAACGTCAGTATCTTGATAATTGCTCCTGTTTGCCTGCAGTGCATCCACCGGGACCTGGCAGCTCGAAACGTGTTGGTGACAAAAGGCAGGCTGGTGAAAATTGGTGACTTTGGTTTGGCTCGGGACATCGACAATGACTCCAACTACGTCGTGAGAGGAAATGTAAGTCAGACGTTATTTTTACATTATTCATTCATTTGGGAAGTTCTTGATCATTTTTCTCACGTCGTGTGGCTTTTGCTGCGTTCCAGGTGCGTTTGCCAGTGAAGTGGATGGCCCCAGAGAGCATCTTTCAGGGGATGTACACCATGAAGAGTGACGTCTGGGCTTACGGCATTCTGCTCTGGGAGATCTTCTCACTCGGTAGCTTTCACAGACACGTTTTAAAAGACAAACACACTGTACATTCCTGCACTATGATAACCATAAACTGCTGTTCCCAGGTGTCACTCCGTACCCCGGCATGAAGGTGGACCACACGTTCTATTCAATAATTGAGAGAGGATTTAAGATGGACTGTCCGTACTACTCCGACCAGTCTATGTAGGTGTCTTCCCTCTGCATGCAACCTTCATGTTAATCCCATGAATAGATACAGTACATTTACAATCATTACAAAAAAGAGCTAAATAACAGCATAAATCACGATAAATAAACATGCTGGTGGCTGCTGATATAGATACATGCAGTACATTTGCTAATTTTTTAACTATATTTCTGTTTTCTGACACAATCTTCTTCTATTTCACTGCATTTCAGTGGGAGGATTCATTTTCCATAATTATAATGCAGCTCTATTTTCCTTTTTAAAATTAATTCTGTTCTTTGTTCATATAATTAAAAACTGTTTTGTTTTCACTAGTTTGAATAAAGCAACCAAAATCACCTATATAAACTTGTAGCATACGTACACATTAATACATCAGTTAAAAAAAATAGCAAATAATATCATTTTTTAATATTTGGAAATAGACTATTTTACTCTACTACTTTGTCTACTTTTCAGTAAATATGGCTGAGAATGATTCTGTACGACTTTTACCTTTAATGTTTACATAGTTATGTTGGTACTTTTATGTTAGTAAAGGGTTTGAATATTTCTAGAAGGAAGACAAATGCTGTTCTCACAGTAGTCCAGCTTCCTCTGATTTGTAGATATCGTGGATAACATTACATCTTTATGGACATGACGCCTTTTCTGAAAACAAAGCTTTTTACAAATTTGAAATTTCATCTCTGTCCTCCAGGTATGAGATGATGTGTAAGTGTTGGGAACTGGATCCCTGCAACCGTCCATCTTTCTCCAAGCTGGTGTCCTTCATGTGCGACCAGCTGACAGACAGAGAGGAGAAGGTAGGCCTGTCAGAAACGGTCAACATATTTTTGGAAGATTCTACTCAAACAGCCATTTAAAAACATCTGAAGCACAGTTTAACATTGTCATCTCCACCGCTGGATGAAGGACGCAAACACTGTATCTGGTCTTTTCTTATTGAGTCTTGTTCCTTCTTCAGCTCTACCACAACATGCTCGACCAGACTTCCAGCGACTACCAGAATGCGGCGGCTGTTTTGGACATTTGTGCCTTGGCAAAGCGCGACGAAAACAAGACACAGTCAGCCAACGACTACTGTCAAAACCATGTGAGTGAAGAAAGCAAAGTAGAAATACCCGAGTCAGACACCGTGGCAGCTGAGGAGGAGCCTCTGAAGCCTTCAGATACAGAGTGATCACCTGTTATATTTTGATGCTCTAACCATTTAATCTATGTAACCGTTACTTCATATTATTCTCATATAATAATCTCAACATTTTAAGTAGAATGTACTTTCTTTGTATGCTATTCAAATATTATAAGTGTTAAGATGCTTACTGTAGGTGGGATAGAATACAACACATGTAGCATATATTAGCATTATCTGCAGGGTTAAATCGAGGATTTGGTTCTTCGGTGAACTGCACTCACCAGCTACTTCATTAGGCACACCTATGAAATCTAATGCAACCCAGTGCCAATCTCCTCCAATGCCAAGTGTCCTCTTCTTGTATGTTATGAGGTGACACAGCTGTTGTAGTGGACTGCATTACATTTCACAGGTGTACCTGATAAAGTGATTGGTAAGTGTATATTTTTACGATAAAAATGTGGTCTGAGTATTTTTGTATACTTTGAGTTTTTTGTGCAGCTAAAAGTGAAAATCAGGTTTTACGAGTATACTTCAGACATGTAAATATGACATCTGTTTGCCTTAAAGTATATACATTTATATCAACAGCTATTACAAGCAGTTTAAGCTCCATTATTTTATACATATATATCTCTTTTTTTCATGCAATGCTTTTAATGATGACAATAGAATTTTACACTGTATTGTATAAGGGTTAACCCTCCTATTACCTTTAGGGTCAATTTGACCCAATTCGATGTTTAACATCTCCTAAAAAGTTACTGACATAACTTTTTCAGTTTTATTTAAAGGCCTATTTACACATACACGTGGGTAACAATTTTAATTATGATATTTTCTGTCTGTTTAAATTGCTGGGGTCAAATCGAACCAAAGGATAAAAGATGTCAGTGAATTTGAAGGTATTAAGAGGGTTAAGTGCAAGCATTATACCTGCAATAAAATGTACTTTACTCATTAAATGAGTGTGTGTTTCTCAGATTGTCCTATATGAGTAATAGAAATACCCTTTAAGACAAATAACTATTCAAGATTCTACAAGAAGAGACCATACATTAAATATCAAAGATTATAGAAACATGTTTTTTCCTCTACATTGTGTGATTCCCAATACTGAAAAGTAACTAAGTACTTTAACAAAAGTACTTCAACAAATTTCTGAAGGATTGTTGCTTTCATAGGATATTTCCATTTTTTGCTACTTTATACACATACATGTTCAAGAGAGAAATGCTGTACTTTTTACTTTGCTACATCTATGTCAGCTGCAGGCTTAGTTTACGTGTTAAGATTTGATGTAAAAACACACGGATTCGTTTTTAGAAATTGAAGCTCCAATATAGAATCTTTAATAACAAACTCCTGTTGAACTTCACTCCACCTCCAGCAACTGAAACAGCATAATTCTGTTTAATGTTAACTTGCATGTAATATGTTGATAAATTTGATGATATATAGAAGTATAACACTGACAGGGAACATAATCATAAGCACTACAACTTTCAATACTTTTAGTATATTAAGCTGACAATACTCAGTGATGTTTTTTACCAAGAACTCTTACTTGTAATTGAATGATGCCATATTTCAGTATTGCTACTATTTACGCTGTAGCTGAATTCATTGTTTTTTGTTTTTGTTTTTGTTTTTTTACATAAATCTATTTAGCTTTCTTGTTTGGTGATGGCAGTATAATTTCTGTATTCCGTCAACTTAAAATGACATTTTGTTACTTTTAACTGTTTTTCTAATTATGCTGCAAGTGAAAAATTAGGCTTTACTCATTTAGCATTGTGCATCTGATGTTCAAGTTTTTCTGCTGCAACTCAAACAAAGACAAAAAGTCTAAAAGCATAATGGGGGGAGAAAAAAAAACATGTTTCACATTTTACATTTGGCCACTGCAAATAGTTAAGTTAGAAAATTTGTGAACTTCAAGTTGAATTTTCTTAAAGTTTAGTTGCAGCAATGCAAAGTGCTCATTGAGAGAAGTCTAGGTATTTAAGTACATGTATCCTAAACCAGTGGCTTTAATATTACTTATTAATTTGGCTCAACTTCATTTCATTGTTTGTAGGAAAGTTGGTCCAACAATTCACCTTTTTTGAGTGCAGGTAGAGAATCTGAACACTTCTTCCACCTTTACGTGAAGACCTTTTGAGAGTCTAAACATTAATTTGGGAACTAAAGAACACATCTTACTTACAGGCCTGACTTTTAAATTCTGCTTCTCACTTTATGCACTAGGAGACGCCAGAGACCAGACTTTGCAGGAGACAACCTGTGTCTAAAATTTGCATCTGCCTTCAAACTTTTTAGCACAACTCTTATTTTCAATGTCAGATGACAGCAGCTGGCTGAATTGAGCAAATATTAACCACAGCCAGACATGGGGGGGCCTTGTTCTGTGCGTCCACCAGTGCATTAACCCTTGTTGTCCGAAGGTCACTGCCTGTGCAACCGCTAAAGAGTGTTCCCAAAAAAAAAACATGGACATCACCGCAGTAAATGCTCTTCCTTACGAGGATTTTGTGAATATTTTCGGGAACGTGGTGGAGAAATGTCCAATAATAACAGCCGCCGTGTGGTCGAGGCGTCCCTTTGTGAGCTTAAATGCTTTGGAGGCTGCGATCACTGAGTTCATCGATAATCTCCCAGAATCAGGTGATCATTTGAATCGTTTTTCAAACTATGTTTTGTCTTGTAGCTCATCAGAGTGAATCATTTATTCTGTGCGTAATGGCGCAGGTCATCAAAAGAACCAAACTGGATGCAATAATCAGTCACCACGTGTGTTCAGGTAAAGAAGGGATCCTCAGGTGTCACCCGGACCTCGCGGGCAGGGATCTCCAGAGTGGCACGCTGACCCGGGAGTCGCGCGAGGAGCAGGCACGAGCCGGGATGGACACGCTGAGTTCGGGTGAAGCCTCGCGCATGGCCCGGCTCAACGAGGAGTACAAGACGCGCTTCGGGTTTCCATTTGTCATCTGCGCCCGGATGAACGACAAAGCGAACATCCTGCGGCAGCTGACCGAGCGATGCGGGAACGAGCGCGCCTTGGAGAGGGAACGAGGAATCGAGGAGGTGAAGAAGATTTGCCGCCTGCGTCTCCAAGGTCTAATGCTCTGTGACGCACCGAACAAACTATGAACCTTCAGTTCATGTTGGATCTCCACAGAGCCACTTCAACCTCCAGGAAAAACTTCCATTGATCATGCATAAAGGCTGTGATATATTCTTTATTCCAAATTTATTATGTGTGTTATTCATCAACCAAACAGTATAATTAACACTAAAAGATGTGCATCACTGATTCTAACTGAACAATTTACATGATATAGTTTAGGTTTATGTACAAGTGGACAAATATATGGAAAATACACATTTTTGACATTTTACGCACATTTATAAACATGATTGTGGCCTAAAGTTTTCACTGTCTGAGGTTATAAACAACGCACTGTCAAACTTAGTGTGACCATACAAGAGCTGGTGCAACTGAGTCCTTGTTGCTGCCTCTAAAATGGGGAAAGGTAGTTGGTCCTTGCGTGATTGTGCTGTCTCCGCATGCCATCTGGTGTCCAAAATATGAAATCCAGTGAGGCCCATCATCACTGTCTCAATCTTATAAATACAAATACTCCCAAAGGGGGCCGCCTTAAAATGTAGTTTTAAAGTCTGTTTCTGTTAAGTTGCCATCAGAATGAAGTAAAACAGTCCCTGAAACGTCACTTTAGGTCCCAGTTTTGAATGCGTAACTGGATCTACGCGGGCTCTCTGGACCCGGACAGAGTGTGGCCGTGCAGCGGGGAAACAGGGGGCGTGGTGGCGGCGTGAGGTCCGTTGGTGGAGGTCACCCCTCCTGCGGCCTCCCCCTGGTCTCCCGACGTGATGGAGGAGTCTTGGTCCGGGTCGGTCCCCCTCGCCCTCCTGCGGTCTTCCTCCTTCTTCCACTTCATGCGCCGGTTCTGGAACCAGATCTTGATGTGTCGCTCGGTGAGGCTGAGGGTCAGCGCCAGCTCCACCCGGCGCGGCCTCGAGATGTAGCGGTTGAACAGGAACTCCTTCTCCAGCTCCAGCAGCTGGGCGCGCGTGTACGCAGTCCTCGTGCGCTTGTTTTCCTCCGTCTCCGCCATCACGTAGGGCCCTAAAACACCACAAACACAGACTCAGTGTCCTTACACGCCATGTAGCTGTCATTTATCAAAGTTATTTGAACGTTATCGGCCTTGTTTGGACTCAAATCTCAAGTACTCTTGTAAACTCGCTGCACCTATTAATTATCAAGAAGTTTGACAATCGTGTTTCGTTTGTAGAAATGACCAGCCCTTGTTGGAAAGAAATGGATAAGTTAGGCATTGATCACTCCACCTGCAGAAACCACACACACACACACACACACACACACACACACACACTTGGACATGGTACTTACAATAACTTGAGAGTTAACCAAAAATTCAGAAACAACAAGTGATATGAACGTTATGAACCTACTTTAATTCAGGGTAACTTGCACATTTTTGGGGTGAAGGTAATAGGGCAAATTATTTTAGAGATTAGATAAGATTTTGGTGGAGTGTGCTTTTGTTTCCTTACGTATTCCTCATGCAGGGCGCGTGGTGGCCCACATCTAAAATTCATACCAGAGATCAAATAAAAACAGCAACACTGTAAAACCAGAGTTTACATTGATAAATTATTGTGGTTTGTGATAGGCTATCTGAGGGCACAAACATAAAGTCCCTCTAATGTGGTTTGGTCCCTGTGACTTGCACGCAAATGTTTTTTGTGTTGTTTTTTTTTTCGAAATAGAAAGTCAAAGAGTGAAAGAAGAGGGATTTGGTTTTGCTTTATGTTTCTATTTTTTAAATACATCCATCTACACATCATTTTTCTGGGACTTCCAATGAACAGTTTCTCCAAAAACAGGCATCAAAATCGAAAAAGTCACACGATGAAAATAAAGAAATAAATTCTAGAACTACCACCAAAGCTAGCCTATTATATATAATGAATAGAATAGAATAGAATAGAATAGAACAGAACTTTATTGATCCCTTTGGTGCAGACCTCAGGGAAATTGTTGAACTTCAAATGAGATTGAAAGCTCAGCCTGTGTTTTTTTAGCCTTATCAATCAATTTGTTTATAATAGTGTTACATTTAACATTTTGGTTTGTACAAAACTAAAATCACTTAGATTTGAATTAAAAGTTTAATCAGGGAAGAAAAACAAGTATCAGCCGATTTGTTTTTCCCTCTAGAAACACTCTTTGTCTGAATTAATTTTCACTGTGACTTTATAACCTAAAAAAAAGTAGATGCCACATAAAAGCAAATATATTTGTTAAATTGTAACAACGTTACACGACTGAATGAATATCCATTTAAGTTTAAATGCTTGCTTATTGTGACACTAGTGAGAGTTTTACCGCCTCCTCCCTGTTACATTGGATTTGTGTTTTAGAAACCTTTGCAGCTTACTCCATCAGCCACTTTCAAATCAAACCACATCCTATTTGTCAACTTCACAGTTTTTCTAAACTTCTACCTGATATTAAAATGTGCATTACTCTACAATGTTCCCAGAATTGTGCTTACAAAGCTGTGCGCAAAACTTAACCAAAAGGTGGCCACGGTGACGCATGATAATATCGACGTTGTTGGTCATTAATAAAATGCACCAACCTACGACTAAGTGAGTGAATCAGAATAAATGTTTATTTTTTGAAGATTTTTTTGGATACTAGAAAAATCAGAGAACTATTTAAGTACATTTTAGCTAAGGGAAACTTTCTAGGACGTATTTTTCCACTTACGCAAACGCGCTGGTTAGAAAGCTTGTCAAAATGAACTCCATTAGAAACACTCCTACCTCTATCAGAAAGTTTTAACAAAGTCAAATGTTCAGTAACATTTTAGTTTAGCTGATTTTTTATTTATTTGTTTATTTTTTTACATTAGATTTCAGTGTAAATACACAACCAGGCCCTTTCTTCCAGGCCCACGTCAATCAAAAGCGACTGTTGTACGTTTGGGTGTTTAACAACTTATTATATTCTACAGTCTCCAGCAATGTTTTGTTATAGACAAACCTCACATTTTTGTAACGATAAGACCTGTTAAAGCAAACGCTGACCTTCCGGGCCTTTTACAAATTGACTGACAAGGTAAACTGAAACACCCAGGTTCATATTGTTGGGAGCATGATGTCATTACAGCTCAGACAGAGTCCGCTGAAACTGACCTACTATGACTGCAGACTAATATTGTAAAAAATAAAAAATAAAATAAATAAAAACTGTCAATTTATTCAAATATGAAGCCTATTTTTAAAACTAAAATCAAGCACTTCTTGGAGAAATTCTGCATTCAGATTCCGTTTCTGGTCAGATTTCGCTCTAAAACACATCAGCTGACATGGTTGAGGGTTTACCTGCCCACTGGCCCTTCCAGGTGTGTGAGTGGGATTTGGTGGTTTTCATCCAGGGGAATGGGAGATGATATCTGCTTTGCTCCCCAGCGTCACCATAACCTGGAGGCTGGAGGGGCTGCTGTTGCTGCTGCTGCTGGATCCCTTGCGGGTGCTGGAGCTGAGGCACACCTGGATCCTCCCGCATGCCGGGCAAACTGTACGCAGGAGCAATGTCAGGAAGGCTGGCCTGCTCCAGGGCTCCCATGGACGGCGGTGTGTAGACGGAGTGAACCTGCCTGCTCATGTAGAGGCAGGGCGGCGGGCTGTGGCTGTACTCATCCCCCTGTGATCTCTGGTAGGCGCAGGAGTCTTTAAAAACCTGAGAGGAGTAATAATGATCTTCCCGATTCATGGCTTGGCGTGGACCGGAGAGCTGCGAGGCCGTTTGCGCGCACATGTAACCGCACCTGCGCCCTGCCTCGGCGTGGACCTTCAGCTCTACCTGCCTCTGGCGCAACTGCGAGGCCCTCACGGCTCCACACAGGTGTGTCACTCTGTCACCATGTGACTCTGCAGAGCCCGAGCCATTGGTTTCACTGTTTGCTCCCAGTTTCCAGGATATTCTGCAGCTTGCGGGATTTTTTTTTCTTCTTCTTCTTCAGTAAATTGAACAGTCAGCGCGTAAATCAATGCCACTCTGCAAATACCGCAAAGTTTACCTGGCGTCCAACATTGTCTGCGCGCACAGCTGCGCCACAGAACAGGTGAATCAGCGGGCCCTGCCTCCACTAAGAGAGGTATTAGTCTAGAGCGCAGGGAAGGAACACGTTTCTCATGTGGGACATGTTGGATTGTCCTCAAACAATGTGGCAATCGACAATTTATATGGATATACCTCTTGTCTGCACACTGTGGCCGATAAATCGATATGTATGGGCGCAAACATTGGTTGACCTGCGAGATAAGAGACCAGGATGGAGACACAGTTGTCTTGGAAACTCTGGTGAAAAGCTCAAACATCACAGCCCGTATTTCCACAGTCCCCCTCTTTTTTCATTTCTTTTCTGACGTTTAAAATGTACCCATTACACTTTTGTAAATGCATCATTTAACACCATTTTGCGCGCCTGTGCCACAGTCTCAGCGCGAAGGGCCCTTGGCGACAACAAACACAAGAGCTGCTGCTGCACTCTCGCCATGTTTGCTGGCCATTAGCCTTCAGCGGCCGCGCGTTCGCCCCATTAAACATCAGTTCTCGTGGTAAACCAATTAGGCTGGAGTGAGAAACTGAACTCAATTAACCGCCGTGGGCACGGAGCGTGTCTGCACAGCCTGCACACGTTATCCAACACTGTGGACCCTCTACTATAAGATAGGCCTAATCTACCTATTCTCAGGCAAATTGTACAGGAAGACCAGGCTTTTACCTCCGAAGAGTCTATCAATACACTATTTGCACTGAGTTCTTCAAAAGCAATTATGGCACTTTCCACGGTATCTTAATGGGGCACTCAGGGATGCAATAAAGTTCAAGCAAACCAATTCTATACAAAACACCCCCTGCAGAATGGCTTAATGGTGTTTATATTTGATCACTGTTTCAGAGAGGAAGGAAACAGTTAACCGAAGCTATTCCCCACTACAGTGGAGATAGACAACGTGATTTATGAAGCATGATGAACATTAAGCCATTTCCAGTCAGAATTTTTTGCATAATGGCCTATAAGGTGGGAGTGATGCAGCTCCGAGTTGCTGTAATAGACCTTTAATAGACACTTGTCACGTGTGTAAAACGCAGTGGAACAATAAAAAGGAGTATAAGCTCAAACACATGGAAACGAGCCAAATGGATAGCAAAGATATAAACAAGACTCTCAACGCTTGAGCAAATGTCCATCTGCTGGCCTGAAACCCAACAACCCCACAGAGACCTGTGGAAATACTGTCAGCATGGAATCACTCGACTGTTATTATAGTAAAGTTGCTGTTGGTATTACAGCCTTATTGAAATAATCCTTCCCTGAGCGTCAGGCACATGTAGGAGTGTCAGGAAAACATTTTTTTTTCTCCTTTGACAAACACAAGCTTTTCTGATAGCTGCTATACACATGTCAAAAAGTTGGACACGCGATAAAATGTGCTTACCCAGTGGCGACAGCAGCATGGCTTATGTAAACATTATGAGCAGTGAATAATGACAGAAGAATGACATTATATTTGAAATCAAACCTCCTCTATAGGAGAAACCAAACAATTAGTTGTATGAAGAAGGAGAGCACAAAAATCTGAGCTAAAAATAAAGGATTTCCTGGGAAAATAAAGGCCACTCAACCCTTTATTCACTCATGTTTTACTGAAAAGCCAAAAAAAAGAACATTAAAATGATGTTATCTTGACTACTAAAGGGATCAAACACAGTCTACTGAACCTCAACATATAAGCCAAACTCCTCTGTGGGTGCTGTTAAGTCCTTTTCTAACAGCAGGAATAACAAGTCTTCTGTCTCCTTCCAACACTCCAGGTGAGCAGGACAGATTGTCTCAGCTTGTCTGCAGTTCTGAGGCGTTTGATCTGCTACAAGCTCAGTTTCAAGTCCACCTCTGTGCTCCCTGAACAGGGACCGGTCTCTGGAGAAGCAGAGCTCCTCAACAAACAGATGTGCTCTATTCATGAAGTCTGTGTCTGTCTTTGTCTGTGTTCTGTCCATCGGCATGTCTGCCGTCTCTGTCGTCTCTCTGTCTGTAGTGTTTGTCTCTATCTCTATCCAGCTTCTTATCTTTGTTTTTGCGGCTGTCCCTGTGATGATGTTTATGGTCTGTGTGGCCTCCATTACTCCTGTGATCTCTGGGAGGTGTTCTGCTGCGGTCCCGGCTCCTGTCTGGGGACTCGTTCCTGTCCGGGGACTCACTCCTCAGGCGCCCTCTTGTGGTGGAGTGTCCGGTTCTGGGCTCACCGGTGCGCCGCTGCAGGCCGGTGGAGCGCAGGGTGTTGAGGAGGAAGCGCTTGTTGGTGCTCCGTAGAGGGCACTTCAACCTGACAGAGGTGTGAACAGACACATTTGTTTTAACTATGTGACAGTGTGACCCCACAGATTAGACACCTGCCGCTCAGAGACAGATGGATGGTCACCACTGGGATCAGAGCTAATAACTGTGACACCACAACACAGGACAGATTAACTTTAAAAGGTCCTCATGCACAGGGCTGTGGCTACCACTGAGGATACTGAGGGATTTTCTGCCCCTGTTCCCACTTTGAATCCATGTGAAACTGATTTAAAACATGTGAAGGGTATTTTATAGGCTAATTCCAGGATTAATTCCTCATCAGAATAAATGATTCAGTAGTTTTCCACAATACTTATATTCTAGCTAGGGATTTGAAACAGAATGTAGACACCTCGTTGTGTTACTTAAAATATAAAACGAGACTTACACTGGGGATTTAAATTCTTGACCTCAGAATTTATACAATCCTGCCTATGGCCATGCTAATTCTAAACTCTGATCTGTGAGAGGTTGGTATCCTATGTATGCACTGTACTCTTGGACTGAACAGCAAAACAGCAACTTTTGAGAAATTCTGCAGGTTAAGTTGCTGTTATTTTAGATGATATTCATGTGAATATCTTAGTCAACAAGAAAACTGATTTATGTAATGAAAGTGCTTTGTTGTGATTTATTATACATGAAAGTTGTTGTCATATCAGTCTTAGACTTTAATCTCAAGAAAACTTCTCAAATAACCAGTTATCAATTTCTTTTGGTTTGACAATTGTAATGGCAAAATCACCAAGACAAACGAAACAAACAAGAGTAACTACACAATGCAGTTTGCAAGATTTCCTGACAAAACCAGGATCCTAACATTTATCAGTATCGTTATGAAGCTGTTTTTACCCATTAATACATTGGTTATAAAGTTAAATTCACTACTTAGAAGGTTAGAAATGTAGACTAACACAAACTCCAACAAAAACATTGTTGAAATGCCCTTGTTTATTTATTTATTTACATGTTTAATTAAAGGTCGCCGGTTCGCGTCCTGGTGGGGGCACCGGGATCTTTCTGCGTGGAGTTTGCATGTTCTCCACCAGAAAACTAGTGTGACAACAGACCATTTTCATGTAGGCCAAGTACGGTAAATACATTTATGTGGGAAGAGTATGTAAAATTGTTGTCACAGAGTCTTCTGACAACTTGGGCTGCAACTAACTTAATCGGTTGATTAGTTTCACAATTTATACCTGAAATATTTGGGCTCTAAAATGTCAGAAAATGGTGACAAATGTTGATCAGTGTTTTCTAAAGCCCCAGATGACATCCTTGATGGTCTTGTTTCATCCTCAACCCAAAGATGTTCAGTTTACTGTCATAAAGGAGCAAAGAAACCACAAAATAATTCAATCTAAGAGGCTGTAATTAGAGAAGTTAGATTTTTTTTCCTTAAAAAAAATGTAAACCAATAAATTGATTATCATAGTAGTTGGTGGGTAATTTAAAAGCTATTAACTATTGAGTTAAGTGATCGGACATGCAGCTCTACTGAAAACTGAGCAAGAAAACTAATTAAGAATTAATCAGATAAACTGTGCACAAACTGAATCTAAATGCCCATTTATGAATGCAGTTAAGTGGATAAGTAACAATCAGACATGCACACAGTTGACAGATGTGTGCAGGCTGATGCAGATGGCATGTCAAACACATTGCTCACCATCCTGCAGGGCCCATCGTCTCTGCTCTCACCCGAGCTCTGTCAGTCTCCCTGAGGAGCTCGTCTATGGCACGTCTGCATGGGTAAACAAAGAAAAGCACAAAAATGAGTCATGTGGAGGGGACGAAACTGGGGAGCAGTCGAGGACAAAAATAGCACAAAACCTCAAGAGGGAGCCAAAGGGAGAATCATTTAATTAAGTGTGAGAAAACTGAGTTACGCAGAGTATGTGAGAGAAAGTGAGTCATTAGGAGTGAATGAGGGACAGCGCCAGTGTCCTGGTTTGACCTGAGCTGCTGAATCAGCAGAGTATCAGCAGAGGAGAGCCACTAATTTAGCCGACCTTTAACCACACGGCACAGCCAGCTAACGGTGTCTGTTTCCTTACAGTCGCCACACATTCACACTCGTCTTACAGCACAGTAAATACAACAGCTGTGGACCAAAAATACGCCTCCTGCACTCGAAGCGGCGTAACGGTTATGGAGGTAAACTGCCCCGAAGTGTGAGCAAACAGCAGCTGTACAGTTAACAGAGAGCAAACAGCGACACATTCACTTACTTTTCCAGCTCATTATCTTCTGCCATCACCTCCCGTCCGGCTACACGCTCACACGCGAAGTTAATTCAACTAAAATCGATGCTTGCACGTTAATTAACGCGACATCGCTTGTTTACCTCTCAGCAGGGTCCTTCCGCCGAGGACCCTCTGTTTTTAGCTGCCCTGAACAATGCCTGATCAGTCTGACGTTCACTAAGTCCAAAACCTCAACACAACTATCTTACAAAAGCATAACATTCATTTAAAATAAAAATCAAAAAATCAAAACCAACGTATTTTCCCTGCGATATGAGTTCTGATTTAGTTTATTGCGCGGTTAAACCAAATAACAAACCGGTTAAGTCACTGTTATGTATACGAACAACAGCTGTTTAGCCAAAGTGTTTGCCCGCAGGGACATAACATTAGTGTTATAAGTTTAAATGTTGAAGTTAAGACTCCAAAATTATATTAGTTAACTTACCTGACTAATTGAAATATTAAGGTTTTGACCCTACACTGTAAAACAGCATAAAGGAATTTAAAGAAACTAAATTTAAAGATATAAATTAGCATGACTAACTTAAATGTAGATCAAGAACCCAAAATATTATATATTTTAACAAATTTCCTGATTATTTTTAAAATTAAAGTTAAGACTACAAATGTATACATGGAAAACCCAACAAATCCAAAAAATTTCCTTAGCTGCATATTGATGGCAGTGGTAAGGAAAACTCTTTTTTTTTTTTAACACGGAGAGACCTCCAGCAGAACCAGGCTCAGGGAGGGTAGACATCTACCTCAACCACTATGGGGGAGGATAAAGGTAAAGAAAGAGGACAACGGAGGCAAACAGACATACAAAAAACAGGATAACTTAAACAGACTAGTGGGCCAAGTGGTTGCAGATTAGATCTGTGCAGCTGCAGAGGCAGAAATACATGCAGAGAGCTACTGGAAGAGAGAGAGGAAACTACAGGAGATACAACACACAAAGTTAATACCGTGCATTAGCGCATGGTAACAATGGCGAAACACGCAAATAGATCCTTTACTAAAGTGAAAGTATTACACTCGTATGAATTTAAAAATTCTTCATTACAAATAATAGTCAAGTAAAATCAGGCAAGTACAGCAAAATATACACAACATAACAAATTAAGTATTCCTTACACACCACATACTCATATTATGAGTCAATAAGCTGTATTTTAACTAATAATCAGTTGATATGTTTAATTTACTGTCTTTACTGTTAATCAGTATCAGGTTTATGTGGTGTTGTATATGTCGATACTTTAATCTCCAAACTAATGATTACATAATCTAACAATGTGCATAATCAGGAACTTTTTATTAGCCTGTAGATGTACCGGATTGCTGGTTTATTACCTTAATGATTTATTACCATGGATATCTGCAGACTTGGTGTTGTATTTGAAAGTGAGACACTCCTTGAAACACCTCGAAACAGCTTGTACACTAAATGTTGGTTATCATCTACAACACATCACTGACAATATATTTCTAAAGCTTAAAGCTGGAACTTAAAAAAAAAGAAAAAACTCTGAAAAGTAAATGGACTGGACTTATATAGCACTTTTATCCAAAGCACCTTACAGTGTGTTTCTCATTCACCCACTCACACACACACACAGTCATACACTAATGGCGACAGAGCTGCCATGCAAGGTGCTGCCTGCCATTGGAAGCAAGGTCGGGTTCAACGTCTTGCCTAAGGACACTTCGACTGTGGAGGGGCGGGGGATCAAACTGCCAACCTTGTGATTGGAGGACAACCTGCTCTACCACCTGAGCCACAGCCGCCCTATGTAGTCGCCATATAGTGAAGTCAGGTCACCTGTATTGTCATCCAAACTCTACACACAAGGTATATAGTGGAATGAAATTGTATTCGTCCCAAGACTGATACACACAAACTAGTCTACAACATTACATTGATCGCAATGCAACATAGCAAGGCATGTATCTGAATGTCCTCAAGGCTCGATTATTATAACACTCTGTAGTCTGGTCAAGGTCAGTCCTCACTGTCTTGTCCGTAGCTGCTGCAAGACTCCTGACTGGTACCAGCAAAATGGAAAGCATCACTCCTGTTCTAGTGTCCCTGCACTGGCTACCTGTTAAATACAGAATAGATTTCAAGGTTCTTTTATTTGTTTATCAAGCCACACATGGGTCGGTAACCTTTACAAACACAAACTACTTTTCTACAATATACAGAAGAAAAGATAAGGAACAACAACACACAGAAAACGACCTGAGTCATTATCTGGATTATTTTCTTTTGTTTCTTTTTCCAACAAAGTTCTCAAAACCATTTTGACCATAGACACCACAAATACCTATTTATTTATTCACTTATTCATATATTTATTTAAATTATCATATACATTTTGGGAGAGGAAGAAGTATATCTCCAAATATCTAGTTGAAGTTTTGATTGGTGTAGTAGTTCTTTCCAGTTGGGTGAGCTTAAACATGGCTCTGTTAGCTTTTCTCAGCTTAGTTCCAACAAGTGATCTGGTCACATATTTAACATATAATATATTTAATCTCATTTATAAATGGGATTTCTTTAATGACAGAGTGTATTTTGTGTTAGAATATGTTTTCCATCAAAAATAACACAGAGCAGTGTCACATTTTAGCAGTTGGCAAAATAATGTAATTTCTATGACCACTGTGATTCTGGGGTCAAGTGTCACTGTACACAATGCCATAGCCCATTTTATGACTATATACTCATGTACAGAGATTAGATCTTTGTTTCATTTTGAAAAAAAAAAATCAGTCTGCTTCATTGAAATAGAAGTTAAAGGGACAATATTGCCAAAGCGTCAATGAAAACATGATATTTTTCATTAAAGAAACAAATAGTATGCTTGTGCATTAAAAGATCTAATATATAAATGTGAAGGCAGAGTGTGAGTTGTAAGGAGACTGATTTCAGCTGTCACATGCAACAGAGCTGACTGGCTCTCAGGCTATGCTCTGACTTATTTTTCTGCTTGTATTCTGCAGATTCTACACTTCCATAGAGTAAAACTGCTGCAATGATAGGTGTGAATATTCTGAGCCTAATCCTACCAGGTGAATCTGTGTCCAAAGACTTTTTTTTTATAGAATAGAAAGCCCTTCTTCCCTTCTCTCTGAGATTGCTAACAGCCAGACTAAAGTTACCTGCAGACAAAATTTTCAGGCTTTTTAGGCAGTAGCTGTGTGTTCTTTAACAGTGGAGCCCAGTAAAACCTGTTTTGGGTTCAGATTGCTTTTCAGCAGTGCATGACCATTGCATTGGTTTTGGGTTATTATACATATATAAAAGGTACTCTTTGCAAAGCTTGACTGTCATTTTAATAACATTCAACCCACTCAATAAATTCACAAAGGCCACTTTTGGGTGATATTTTTGAGCAGGCGGTTTGTGAGCCACCTCTCACTCTGTCGTGGATTGGCAGCCTCAGGCCCCGCCCACTCCCCGTTGACGGACAGCGGTGGGCGGGGTCAGCGCCGCCAAAGACACGGGGGCGTTTTCGTGCGGGTTTGCGGAACGGTCCGTTGCGGTGAATGCGTGATCGAGGTCCCGCGGCTGATTATCGTCCCCCCTCGTCGGGGCCGGAGCGCAGGGCGCGGAGGAGCAGCCGGAGCAGGTAACACCACATCTGCATTCAGCGCCTGCATGAACGGTGTCAGTGTGTGGCTGGCTGTGCATTCATATCGCCGCTGTCGCTTCATCTGTCCTCGCTGCTCCGCTTGTGGAGGGTGGGATGGAGTCAGACAGATGGGGGGGCAACGGGGTTTTTTTTTGTTTTTTGTTTGAAAGGATCTCGGCTAAACAGATGTGTTCGCGTATCGTTTACATCATGACACTGCAGTTTGGTCCGTTGCCAAAATAAATTAGGACTGTGACAGTGAGAGAGAAAATGATTGCAAATCCCAATTAAACCAGTGTCAGTTTTGGTTGTTATCACTGCATGTCTGGCTGTTGTGAAAAAAGCAGCCTATTGCAACAGAGCTTGCAGAACAGCAGCAGCAGCAGGCCTGTTCTTGCAAGTGGCTATAAGAGCCTTTCTGGATTTTTTAAGATAAGGGACGGCGAGATGGGGGTTTTATGAAAATGTAGGCTAAGCCAACAGGACCTGAGATTTTAAATCTGTGGCCTGAAACATCATTTCATCTTCTTTGAAAATGTAATTCCTGCATGTAGCAGCCCATGTGCTGCAAGATTAGATTGTCATCTCTGAAAAATGAACAATGAGCAGGGACAGGTGCAGGGCCAAGACTGTTATTTATTAATATAGAAAGCAGTGCAATGACAATAACAGCATGGCCTTGGACTCCCACACAGACACACACACACACACACACTGGGATTAAAAGAGAAACATTTCACAAGCATTTGCCAGTCTTCTTATTACTTGTGTAGAGGAATCTGTTGCAGCAGAGTCCAGCTCTGTTTAAAATAGATTTAAGTGCTTTTCATAACTGCTGCCACAGTGAAAACCTGAAGACTTTACTTATTGATAAAGACTATTCACAGGGACTGGTACCTAAAAAGCGCCTGTGCTTGATGTGTGTGTGTGTGTGTGAGTGTGTGTGTGTGTGTGTGTTTGCTTTTGCTAGTGTAGACTTATGCTTGCATGTCCACAAGTCTGTGTGTGTGAGATGTGGTGATGTCACAGCTTTGTTATAGAAACAGAGAAGCCTTGTGTCCTCATGATTAATTCATGTCCAGCTGCGGGATAGAGACAGAAGCAGCCAGTCACACACAGACAGGAGCACGTACTAAAAGGAGGCTGAAATAAGTAACTACCGGTCCGGTAGCCAAGGAGACAGGAGAGACAGGTTGTCACAGAAATGGGTAGCCACGGAGACGAGACGAAAAAAGTAGCAAAAAACGAACCAAGGGGACTCTCATCATCACTGTCTGACAAGCTTTCAGGCTGTACCAGGGAGGAGCAGGGCATCCTGCTGAGAGAAGTGCATCTGTTGTGTGGCTCCTCTGCATCCTTCTCTGGCTACACTCTGAATGTCAAGCCCCACTGAACAGAACAGGATCCAGGTCGTCATGGAGACAGGAGCAGACCCTCTCTGGAACAGAGGCAGGTAGTCACTGTGGCTTGGCT